GGTGCGGCGGCGCTCCCGCCCGAGGGTTCGGATCCCACATACAGACCGGTTCCCGCTCACTGGCTGAGCAAGGCTTGGGAGCAACACTGAGGGTTGCGATCCCATTGCCGGTCCCGGCCCGGTACGGGGGTGACACTGAGGGTTGCAATCCGTTGCCGGACATGGAAAAAGACAAAAAAAAAATATTAACATTTTTTAACTCATAGTCTCTATGGGTTAGGAATTTACAAGCAGTTTATCTTGGTGATTTTGGTTAGAGTCTCTCATGAAGTTGCAGCCAGGATGTCATCCAAGGCTACAGCCATCTGAACACTAGGTTGGAGCTGGAGAATCTTCAGTTTCCTGCTGGCTGTTGATAAGAGGCCTCAATTCCTTCCCAGTTGGCCTCTCCTCAGGCTACTTGAGTGTCTTCACAACATGGTGGTTGGCTCCTCCATAGCAAGTGATCCAGTAGAGAACAAAGTAGAACCTAGAATGTTTTGTATTTTTTTGTTGCTGCTGCTGCTGTTTTGTTGTTTACTGGACAGTACAGGGATTTGAACGCTTGACCTTGGTGTTATCAGCAACATACTTCAACAGACTCAGCCAACTGGCCAGGCCTTGGAATGTTTTTTTACAACCTAGGCTTGTAGGTCACATACTGTCCCTTCCGTAATATTGCAGTATTGATTATACAGGTCAGCCCTGTTCAGCGTAGGAGGGGATTACACAAGGGCACAAATACCAGGAATTCAGGGATCATTGGGACCATCCTGGAGACTGTTACCACAACTACTTCCCCTAAAATTCAACTTCTCAGGGTTTTCTTATCAGTCCTAGACTTTATATCTTTTTGCTTTTTTTTTAATTTTTTTTTTTTTTTGGTAACAGCTTCATTGAGATATAATGCAGATACCACATAATTTGCCTATTTAAAGTGTACAATTTAATGTTTTTTAGCATATTCAGATTGTGCAGGATCACCATAATCATTTTTAGAGCATGTTCATCACCCAAAAAGAAACTGTGTCTTTTAGTTATTACTTATCAATTTCCCCATTGTTCCCAGCCCTAGGCAATCCCTAAGCTATTTTCTTTATGAATTTGTTTCTTTATGAATTTGCCCGTTCTGAATATTTCATGTAAATGGAATTATGCAAGATGTGGTCTTTTGTGATGGGCTTCCTTCACTTAGCATAATTTTTTCAAGATTTATTCATGTTGTATTATGCATCAGTGCTTTATTCCTTCATATGCTTGAATAATATTTTATTATTGTGAATATATTATGTTTTGTTTGTCCATTCATTAATTGATGGACATTTAGGTTGTTTCTACTTTTTGGCTAGTACAAAAAATGCTGCTTTGGATCCAGGCTAGCAATACAGCCAGTCAACACCTGGGGATCCTGAGACAGGGGCCATGGTGCCTGGCCCCACCCCTGCCCACATCCAGGCAAGCAATGCAGCTGGCTGACCCTGGGGAGTCCTGAGAAGGGGTAGTGGGCCAGCCCTACACCCAACCACAGCCAGATCTTAGAATGTACTTATTAGCGGGCCAGCCCGTGGCTCACTCGGGAGAGTGCGGTGCTGATGACACCAAGGCCCCGGGTTCGGATCCCATATAGGGATGGCCGGTTCGCTCACTGGCTGAGCTTGGTGCTGACAACACCAAATCAAAGGGTTAAGATCCCCTTACCGGTCATCTTTTTAAAAAAAAAAAAAAAAAGAATGTACTTATTAGCCACTTGTGTTTCTTTGGGTGTGTTATTTATCTGCTCATGCCCTTCACCAAATTTCTGTTTAAATTTTTCTAATTCAGTTTTTAAGAGTTCTTTATGCATTAAAGATGTTAACTTTCTTGGTGTTAAATTCGTTCCTTTTTCAATTGACGTTAAATTCAATTTGTGATGTTTTCCTTTGTTTGTATGTTGAGAAAATAATTCTTTCTAAACAATAAATAAATGAATAAATAAATAAATAAATAAATAAATAAATAAATAAATAAATAAATAAATAAAACAAGACCATGCTCTAACCAACTGAGCTAACCAACTAGCCATGATTTTAGATGCTTCCTAAATCCTCTATGTAGAGTTAGGCACTTCAGTTTCTGGAACATAAAAGCAATACATCAAAAAGATATTGAGGAGTGGATAAGAGTCCCAGTTTTCCCACTTCCTACACATGAGACCTTGGATATAACTTCTATGTACTTTAGTTTCATGCTCGACATGGTCCACCCTTCTCAAGGGGTGGCACAAGAACCATCTGCATCTTCATGGGTACTTGTTTAAACATGTAGATTCTTGTGCACAGATCCCAAACCTACTGAATCAAACTCTCTGAGGTTGGAGATCAGGAATCTGCATTTTTTCCAAGAACCACTTGGGGTAGACTGAAAATTGAGAACTGCTATGGCAAAGGAGCAACATATGCTGAAAAATAGCAAGTCAGAAAATATGATAGTTAATTTCTGCCACCAAATTTGCCTTGTACACTCAGAGAAATAACTTCTTTAGGTTATTCTAAGCTTTAGGTTACTCTTTAGGTTATTTTTTAGCTTTTTCTAAGCTATAAAGTAATGTGACTGAATTGGATGATCATTATGTAAGACCTCAGATTCTCAATCCTTAGAACCATACAGAGAAGATTAGCATGGCCCCTGCGCAAGGATGACACGCAAATTCGTGAAGCGTTCCATATTTTTAAAAAACCGGGTGGGGGGGGAGAGGAAGATATAACAACCACAACTTTTTTTTTTTTTTTTGGAAGTTCTTACAACAAGAAAATGGAGGGGATGCACCTGGGTGGGGGGGGGAGAGGGAGGAGGGAGGGAGGTTTCGGTGAAGGGACACAATAACTAACTACATTGTATATTGACAAAATAAAAAAATATATATATAAAAAAAAAAATTACATAGGCTTAAAACTTGCTTTGAAAATCCCCTGAATCACATTTAAAGATATACAGAGTTTTATTATAACCCTGAACCATAATAAATAAAGATGTATGATAAAATAAATAAATAAATAACCCATTTTAAAGTATAGAGGAAATGAATGGCTGAAGAAAAAAATCACTCAGTTGCATCAAGATGATCAGGGCATAATCTCAGAAAATCACATTGAGAAAATCTATACAAATAGAGCCATGGATGGAACCAGCTTTATTATAATCAGTTCTAATCACTACACCAGAGCAATGAATTACAGGCTGTACTGTAAATAAGATGTATTTTTTTTTTTTTGTCTTTTTCCGTGTCCGGCAACGGATTGCAACCCTCAGTGTTGCCCCCGTACCGGACCGGGTACCGGACCGGGGACCGGCAACGGGATTGCAACCCTCGGTGTTGCTCCCGCGCCTCGCTCAGCCAGTGAGTGGGAACCGGTCTGTATGTGGGATCCGAACCCTTGGACGGGAGCGCCGCCGCGCTTCCCAAGCGGCGCACTTATCCAGTGCGCCACTGGGCCGGCCCAATAAGATGTATTTTTTATTGTAGTAGAAATAAATTGACCTGTAGGAACTTTAGTAAAATGAGGAATAAGAACAAATCAGGGGCCTTTTGGGTGGCAGTCCGTACACAGAAACTGTATGTTTCTGTGAAACTATGAACGAAAGAAATATTTATTGAAAAATTTGACTGGCTAAAAAAAAGATATATTTATTGGGACATTTAAGGACTAGAATATAATTCTGTACACCAATTTACCAGGAGAATAACAATCTAGTTTTCTTCTTTGGTGGCTGGCCAGTACAGGGATCTGAACCCTTGACCTTAGTCTTACAAAGTTATACTCCAACCAACTGAGCTAACCAGCCAACCCCTCCAGCCCAAGACTGAACAAAGAATGTTAAGGAACCCAAATAATTTACTGAGCCAAAGTGAGAATATTGTCTTCTTTGGATATGTTCTTGTATATCTTGTTCCAAACTATGCTTTCAGCTAACAGTAATAAACCTGAGCAAAAAGGAAAATCCTTTGACCAAATACAGGAGGAACTACATACATTTAATACTGGTATCAGTATTGTATTGGTTTGCTAAGGCTGTCATAATAAAATAGCACAGACTGGATGGCTTAGACAACGAATATTTATTTTCTCTCCGTTCTAGAAAGTGGAACTCCGAGATCAAGGTGCCAGCAGGGTTGGGTTCTTCTTCTTTTTTTTTTTTTTTTGTCTTTTTTGTGACCGGTATGGGGATCACAACTCTTGGTGCAGTGTCGCTCGCACCGCGCTCAGCCAATGAGCGCACAGGCCAGTCCTATATAGGATCTGAACCCGTGGTGGGAGCATTGCTGCGCTCCCAGCGCCGCACTCTCCTGAGTGCACCATGGGGCCGGCCCAGGGTTGCGTTCTTCTAAGGACTCTCTGTTTCACTTGCAGGTGGCCGTACTGTTGTCTTCTTGTCACATGGTTGTTCCTCTGTGTATATGCGCCCCTGGTATCTTTCAGTGTGTCTGAGTTTCCTCTTCTTATAAGGACACCAGTCAGATTGGATTAGGGCTCACGCTAATGGCCTCATTTTAACTTAATCCACTCTTGAAAGACCTTATCTTTCCACACAGTCACAAAGAGCCTGAGGTACTGGGGGTTAGGGCTTCAGTATATGAATTTTGGGGAGAATACATATAACAGGTACATAACCCCTTTGCTGTCAGAAAGAAACTAGGTGAAGAAGCTCATGTTCCCTCTGTTTGTCTGCAAAAGGGCTCTGCAGTAGTTTCTGGCACATGGAAAATGCTAGATAAGCACTCATTTTATGAATGAATAAATGAATGGATGTGTGGACTGATTCTGTCGTAAGTGGAATAGGTGACAGCCTGTTGAAAAATTTTATTGGTATCCCTTGTACAAAACTAACATGTAAATTAAAAAAGGGAATTAATGATCTATAATGGTGGATACCAATCAAAACACATTTTCACGAAGAATGTTTCATTCATAAGTAGATCTTCATCATCTTGCAAGTTGCCTTCTGAGGAATATGACAGTGAACATCATTCCAGCCCCATTGTTTTGATGCAGTATGAAAATTTATTACAACACAACACTCGTCAGGATTATTGGGTTCATGTGAGTGCCAGAATCTGAAAGGAAGAGAAAAGATGAGGGCGTTTCTTCCAGTAGTGTTTTGAAAAGTGTTGGAGACTATGAGGGGCCGTGGTTGATCAGGGTGAAAGTCAAGTTCAGGTATACCCAAACTACTCCTCCCCCTTTGCTGCCATGTTTTATAAAACTATGTTTATGAAGTTTATCCTCCATCAGTCTCTGGTATTTCTCTTGAAAACTGTTCCCACATTACCCCGTATTCTTTCATCTTAAGCAACTTGGAACACATTAAACTTCTCCCAGCAGATGTCCCAAAGGATTTCTTCTATTTGTCCATTCTTTTTTTTTTTTTTTTTAAAAAAAAGATGACCGGTAAGGGGATCTTAACCCTTGACTTGGTGTTGTCAGCACCACGCTCAGCCAGTGAGCCAACCGGCCATCCCTATATGGGATCCGAACCCGGGGCCTTGGTGTTATCAGCACCACACTCTCCCAAGTGAGCCACGGGCCAGCCCAATTTGTCCATTCTTATATCCCATTGCCACGGAATTTCTAATCTCACAGGGTTTCCTTAAATGACCAAAAGATTTCCCATGGTTCCAAGTACTAAAACAGTTCATTCCTTTTTGTTGTTGTTCTATGTACTGCTTTTGGAGTATGAAGAACGAGGTAAATTCTCTGGATCTGCTACTTACTCACTATCATTTGGAGCAAGCAATTTAATTTCCCTGACTCTCAGTTTTTCTACCTAGAAAAAGGGGGACTAGAGTAATATCCTGTATTAGTCCGTTTTGTGTTGCTATAACAGAAATACCTGAGACTGGGTAATTTATAAAGGACTCTATCTAAGTCTATGCTCACGTGATGCTTTTGTTGTATGGTGTCTGATCAACCCATTGCCAATGTCTCTGACCCTCTGGATCAGACAGCCCCAAAGTGAGCAAAATCTTATTGAGATTCTTGATGATGAACTCCTGAGGGAAGAACAAAAGGAGTCATAGCCTTAGAAGACTCAGGTTGAACTGAGTTCTTTATGGCCTTAGGGAGAAGAAAAGAAAAGCAGGAGATCCAGGGACGATCACGTGGCCCTGCCCAGGAACTCAGGTCTTCTCTGGCTGAGCAGGGCAGGATCAAAGACGTTATTGTGAGCGGGATGTTTAGCAAGTACGGGAGTGAGTACTATCCATGATCACAGTGATTCTCACGTCAGGTTCACTTTCATTATTTTTTTGCTGAATAACTGGATTCTTCAAGATTCTGCATGTGTTAGAGAACTTTCTCCCTCACTGCTAACATATTCTCCACGTGAAGGAAGTTTTATTGGTGTGTCTTTAGGTTTCTTTTTGCCCTTTATTCATTCCCAAGGGAGAAGTGTCTCAACTGACCAGCAAATTTGGTAAGAATAACCGGGCATGCTCGATACATTTGGGAATCGTGACTGAATACTCATAGCACAGTCTGCCTATCTTTTTCTCTGGGGAAGCTTCCTCACAGAGAACAAGAGACCCCATCTGATTTCCCACGGATCACCTCCGTCCTTCGTCTGAGCCAATCAGGATTCTCTCGGTGGGTAAGACAGGCTGGTTCGAAGTCACATTAATTTACATCCTCCAATTCGACCTTCATCAGCAATAAAGGTGATTTTTTTTTGGTCCTCCCTGTTTTATAATTTTAAATTTCTCCATTCATAGCCTTTGCAGGGAAGATGATAATTAGGTTCTCCTCAGAAGCCCCAATATTGTACAATCAATCGATTTTTGCAACATCAGTTTTTACTTGGGAAATTTCAGCAATGCTTTTTTCCTCATATACTTATCAATTCTTGATTGTGGGTGGGTTCTTGCAGTTCAATTTTTTTTTCTCAAGTCCTCATAATATTTCTTCTCTGTGAAGCAGTTAATTATCTCTAAGCATTTTTATATTAATGCATTTTATGTAAATGATTGATAGCAATGCTAGTATCAGTGCTGAATGTAGTGAGCTTCCATTTCCAATAATGGTGGACTTATTTGAATGAAACTTCTTCATGAAGTCAACTAAATAAAATGGAGGAAATGTGAAAAGACTTAATGTCTCAAAATGAGCTCACAAAACAGCAAAAATTTTACCAGGGCAACATGCCAAAGAGAATGGAAATCCACAGAAATGAGCCTGGAAATCATGGCCACTTTTACTCCAGTGAAATTTTGCTGTTCCATAAGAGGCAGTCGAGGGGTTTAGCAGCAACTTTTTTTTTTTCCAAGATGCTAAAGTTTACCTTTATTTTAAAACTTTATATGGCACAATTCAAATGTTAATGCTTAAAGGCCATTTTAAAATTAATATGTTTTTTTTTTTTCCTTTTTGTCTTTTTTCATGACCGGGAACGGATCGCAACCCTCAGTGTCGCACCCGTACCGGCCCGGGACTGGCAACGGGATCGCAACCCTCGGTGTTGCGCCCGCACCTCGCTCAGCCAGTGAGCGGAAACCGGTCTGTATGTGGGATCCGAACCCTCGGGCGGGAGCGCCGCCATGCTTCCCAAGCGGCACACTGTAGCAGTGCTCCACCGGGCCGGCCCAATATGTTTATGATAATGGTAGTAGTTGCAGTTATTTATTGAGTGTCTGCTATGTGACACACACAGTGTCATGAATCTACATAAGTTATTTCATTTAAATTTTACAGCCATTCCTATGAGGAAGATACTGTTGCTGTCCCCATTTCATAAATGAGGAAATCAAGACTTAGAAAAATAAGAAAATTGTCAGAGGTCACCCAACTACTAAATGGCAAGAGATCTAACACACCGTATGGTCAGTACTCTTAACCAGTATAGTACACTGTATTACAAGAAATATAGAGATGCAGAATGAAATTTTAGAAAGTCAAATAATGTACAAACAAGAAAAGATATATTGACATAACTTTTTCGACTATTTTGTCTTTTTTTTTTTTTTTAAAGCCAGACAGCAAGAAGTTATTAGATATTTTTGAATGTGCATGAACCACAGTGATCCTTACTGGATAATCTACTGGCCAGGGGGCCAAGCCCTGTCTAGGAACCTTTTGGATTATCCTGACATTGTTAGAGGAAATCTGTATTAGACCTTGGGAGCAGACATGGAGCTACAGCTGTCGCTGCTAAGATGTGGGGCATCAAGGATGTGGGCCAACAACATAGACCCTACTAGTCTTCATCAGTAGCTGAAGAATTGCTTACGGATCTATGGAACTCGAGTCCTGACTGGTGTCCCTGGGTGGCCCCAGTTCAGCAGATACAGCATTCAGCAACAATTGCACAATGTGGTAGAATATTCACTTCCAGAACCTACTAGGCAGGAAAACGATGGACAGACAACAAGTACAGTGAGAGATTTTCAGCCTTGAGTTGTCAAAATGCTTCCAAGTATACATATAGTTATCTTTGGATTTAACCCTAAAACTTTTCTGTGGGAGATACTCTCCAGTTTAAAGAATGCACTTCCTGTTAAATGGGAAATCTTATTTCCAAAACGTAAAGGTTTAAAGTTTTGTCAGCCTATATCATGTAAGTACTTCTGCATTTGTATACATGCCAGGTCCACAAATTTCTGTTATTTTATTTTATTTTTTTTAAAGATGACCGGTAAGGGGATCTTAACCCTTGACTGGGTGTTGTCAGCACCACGCTCACCCAGTGAGCCAAACGGCCATCCCTATATGGGATCCGAACCCGTGGCCTTGGTGTTATCAGC